GCTTCCATCCATCCATCTATCTATCATCCATACATCCATAAATCCAGTTTCTATCCATCCATCCATCATCCATAAATCCACAATCCATCCATCCATCGATCATCATAACTCCATCATCCATCCATCCATGCATCCATCTATCATCCTTCCATCCAGCATCCATCCATCATCCATCCATCATCCATCCATTCATTAGGACGGCTGTGGCTGAGTGGTTAGAGCAGTTGTCTTCCAATGCAAGAGTTGGGGTTCGAATCCACCAGCAGTCAGATGCCTAAGTGTCCCTGGGGAAGACACTGAACCCCTCATTGCCTCCGATGTGTGTCCCATTGGTGTATGATTGTGATCTAAAGCACCGATTAGTCTCTCTAGAATGGTTTGTTCAATTAGCTTTGTAGAGATCTAGTAGAGTGCTGTATGAATGGGTAAATGAGGCACAGATTGTAGTGTAAAATGCTCAGAGTATCTTGATCAGATAGAAAGGTGCTATATAAGTACAGTCCATTTGTCATTATCCATCCAACAACCATTCACTTTCTCTCTCATAGGGACAATTTAGAGTTACCAATCAGTCTAACATGCATGTTTTTGGTCTGTGGGAGGAAACTGGAATACATGGAGAAAACCCACGCAGCACGGAGAGAACATGCAAACTCCACCCAGAAAGACCACGGGCCGGGATTTGAACCTGCAACCTGCTCGCTGAGAGGCGGCAGCTCTACCAACTGAGCGACAAATCAAATCAGAAAATATTATTTAAAACAAAAAGAGCTGAAAAAGAAAATGACCAAATTTAATTAAAATTTTAAAATCTGGAACCAACAAATATAAAACATAATTCATTTAATAAAGTTCATGCTCAGTTATCCAGGTACAACATCCAGTAATGGTCAGTCAGGTCATCTGGACATCCATCCATCCATCCATCTATTTTCTTCCGCTTATCCGGGGTCGGGTTGCGGGGGTAGCAGCCTAAGTAGGGAGGCCCAGACTTCCCTCTCCCCAGCCACTTGGGCCAGCTTTTCCGGGGGAATCCCGAGGCGTTCCCAGGCCAGCAGAGAAATATAGTCCCTCCAGCGTGTCCTGGGTCTTCCTCTGGGCCTCCTTCTGTCATCCGGACAGTTTTTTGTTTTTTTTTGTGGAAAGACGTTTCGCCCTCTATTCAGAGGGCTTCATCTGCTTAGTGGAGAAAACAGTTTACTTGTGACTCTTCAGACTGATGAAGCCCTCTGGATAGAGGGCGAAACGTCTTTCCACAAAAAAAGCTGTCTAGATGTCCTGATCAATATTGGATAAATAATTTCAGTTTCATTAAAAATTATGAAAATATATGTTTCATCTTAATTTACATCAAAACATTTAAAGTCAAGTTGTATTAAAGTTAAACATGTTTGTCAGTTAAATTAAACATAAAAAAGGTTAAAAGTGGGATGAATGAAAGAAATACATTGGTGTTGTTGAGAAACTCCTCTAGATGTTTGTTTCTACATGTCTGCTCCTCAGGGATGTTGAAGGTGGTTTCCACCGTGCTCCAGCTGGGGAACATCACGTTTGAGAAGGAGAGGAACAGTGAGCAGGCCACCATGCCCGACAACACCGGTAACTTTTAAAAAAAGAAATCAAAGTTTTTTCATTATTATTATTTATTTTATTTTGAACATTCATCCATCCATCCATTATCTTTTACCTGCTTCTTCCATTTTGGGTCACGGGGATCGCCGGTGCCCACGTCCAGCAATCACTGTGCGAGGGGTGGGTTACACCCTGGACGGGTCGCAAGTCCATCACAGGGCCACATAGAGACAAACGAGACAAACAACCATTCACTCTCTCATCACACCTAGGGACCATTTAGAGTTACCAATCAGCCTAACATGCATGTTTTTGGTCTGTGGGAGGAAACCGGAGTACCCGGAGAAAACCCACGCATGCACAGAGAGAACATGCAAACTCCACCCAGAAAGGCCCCCGGACCAGGGTTTGAACCAAGGACCTGCTCGCTGAGAGGCAGCAGCTCTACCAGTTGCGCCACTGTGCTGCCCTCATTTTGAACAAACAAAACACAAAGAACACACAAAAAAAAAAAACTCCCACCCCTTCCCTCCCACACCGGGGATCAGTCACACATTTATAAATTAATTAAAATGAATTACACAGGCATAGACAAGTTTTCCACATACAACATCAAAGGCTGCCACGTGTCCCAAAATCTTTTAAGGGAACCCTTAAGGGTATTTCTTGTTTTTTTCCAGATGAATATGATACATCACCTGTCTTATCCATTGTACTTATGATGGGGGTGGGGTCTGTCCTTCCAACTGCGCAGAACCAGTCTTCTGGCCAAAAGAGATCCAAAAGCAATCACATCCTTCTCGTACTTACTGAAGAACATATCTACAGGGACCACCCAGAACAGTGAAATGAGTGGCGATGGGTGTACAATTTTACCACATACAGTATCCCAGAGAAGTTGTCATATATAGATTGCCAAAAGCTTTGCAGTTTGGGACAGGTCCAGAATGTATGCAGGAGTGTAGCTGGAGTTTGTTTACAATGATTGCATGCAGGGTCCAGGTTGGCTTTGACCTTGGACAGCTTGTCTTTGGGCCAGTGCAACTGGTGCACCACCTTGAATTGAATTACAGCATGTCTCAGACAGATTGAAGATTTATTCTTTTTTTTAACCTCTTTCAACCGACCGGTCGGACCTGAGCGTGCACCTGACGCACATCAGCAGGTTTCACTGTGCTGGCTTTGTCGTGTGAGTTCTCCTGTTTTTAGCTTTTCTTTAATACTTTCCAGTTCTATTATGTCAATTGTTGTGGGTCAATTGCAAATCCTCAGATGTGTGATAAAAGCAGGGCGAGTGGGGCCACTTGCACAATTGTTGCGCAGTGTGCCAGCTATCACTTTTCACAGTCTGATTAAAAACTGCACTTTATTTTATTTCTTTCCTCAGCCTCAACATATACATTTACTGCCTCCTCCTCAACAAGTAGATTAATTGGGGGAGTGGTGGTGCAGAGGTTAGAGAAGGTAGGCTTGTGATCGGAAGATCGCAGGTTCAAACCCCGGTACAGACAACACCAAAAATTTTGGCGGGGTAGGTGAAGCACCCACACCTGCCCCCACCCTCATTTGCCCCACTCTGGGCCCATGAGCAAGGCCATTAACCCCCATATGCTCCCTAAACAGGTCTCTCTTGAAAATTAGTTATTGTGACTCAATGAGACTACTTGGATAAATAAAGGGTAAATGGAAAAAAAAAGAAAAATAACACAACTTTATATTGTGCATTCTTATTTAGTTTTCTTTGCGCTGTATGATTAGTAAAACCACATCAAAAGCCAGAAACCAACCCAGCCCACCCATCAAGCACATGATTTTGGCCTGACCTGCCCGAATTTTGGGTCGGGTCGGGCTGGGGGCTCAGGCCAAAAATTGCAGCTCTTCTTCTTAGCCTATCCACCTCATTCTTTAATTCCACCACAGTCCCACGCAGAGCCCCCACCTCATCTGAGCATAAAGACAGTCCATTTTCAGCCTCTGTAACACTTAGCTTAACTTGGTCTTGTTCTGCTCTGAGGGATGCAGAGTTTACTGCAAGCTCCGCTCTCACCGCTTGTAGGTCGTTCCTAATAAAATTGAAATCATCCATCAGGGCCACCTTTATTTCCATCCTACTTATCGCTGCAACTTCAGACTTAATTAAATCAGAATATCTGACCAGAGCCGACTCGACTGTCCCTCCAGAGCCCAGCGTGGGTGGGGCCAACGCACCTGTTGAAGTTGTTGCACCTGCCGCAGAAGCTTAACCATGGCCTGAGGCTGAAACAGTATCTCAGGGCCGCGCGAGCGGGGGCACCATTGTCGTAGAGTTTTTTTTAATTTAGAGGCCATATTACAGCTTCGTCGAATCAGTCCTGCAATGACACAAATCTCAGAAGAAGATTCCACCTGGAAGCAGTGAGAATATAAATAATAAAGCAAGTTTTTCAGTTGGGTCAGACAGGAGATTAGCAAATCGCTGCTTAACAGTCTGCTGGCATGTAGCGCTCCAACACCGGTAACTTTTACTCAGAATAAAAACAGCATGGTGGGTTCTGTGGAACCTTTCTGACCCGTTTACCTCCCAAATAACCTGCAGCTGCCCAGAAGGTGTGCCACCTGCAGGGCATCAACGTGACCGACTTCACCCGCGCCATCCTCACGCCCAGGATCAAGGTGGGGAGGGAGGTGGTGCAGAAGGCCCAGACCAAGCAGCAGGTACCACAACTCAGAACTCTGAACTGACTTTTATCCACCATCTGTTGTGCTCCTGTTCCCTCTAGGGATTTAGTTTTGATCTTTTATTCTTTTTAACAGTTTTTTAGCTTTGTGTAGCTGAAGGCAGTTTATTAATGTGTCCTTAGATATAAATAAACATTGAATGAATTCATTTCTCAGCAAAGTGAACGTTTTATTCTGTAGAAGCAGCAGAATCTTTTTTATCTCCTCCAGGCTGATTTTGCAATCGAAGCTCTAGCTAAAGCCATGTATGAGCGTCTGTTCCGTTGGATCCTGGCCAGAGTCAACAAGACGTTGGACAAGAGTAAGAGACAGTCCTCATCCTTCCTGGGGATCCTGGACATCGCTGGCTTTGAGATCTTTGAGGTAGATCCTCCCTGACAAACAGTGAAACGTGTCTTGTTGTTTTCTGAAGCTGCTGCTCGTCGTCTTGCAGGACAACTCGTTCGAGCAGCTCTGCATCAACTACACCAACGAGCGGCTGCAGCAGCTCTTCAACCACACCATGTTCATCCTAGAGCAGGAGGAGTACAAGAGGGAGGGCATCGAGTGGAACTTCATCGACTTTGGCTTGGACCTGCAGCCCTGCATCGAGCTGATCGAGAGGCCGGTCAGAGCTGCAGCACACACACAAACATACACACACACACCATGTGCCGTGTTTCTCATAATTTTGTCTCTGCTGTACAACTCCTGTCTTTGAAGAATCTCTGCTGTTTTCCAGAACAACCCCCCAGGTATCCTGGCCCTGCTGGATGAGGAGTGCTGGTTCCCCAAAGCCACAGATCAATCATTTGTGGACAAACTGCTGAACACTCACACGGGTCACGTCAAGTTCTCCAAACCCAAACAGCACAAAGACAAGCTGATGTTCACTGTGCTGCACTACGCCGGGAAGGTGAGGGAACTGAGTGAACAATCAGTCCAGTTCCAAAGACCTTCTTAAAGTCTGGAGAAGCGCTGATCCAGAACCCCTTTATAGGGTTACAGGAAGGTCTGGATGATGAAAGGAAAATGTAAAGAGATGAGGAGTCCGAGGACTCAGAGTACAAACATTAAGAAGAGCCTCATGTGTAAACTTCTGTTACTGTCCAGACAAAACTTTCTTTTATGTTTCAGGTTGATTATAACGCAGCCAGCTGGCTGACCAAGAACATGGACCCTCTGAACGACAACGTAACGGCTCTGCTCAACAACTCCTCCAGCAGCTTCATCCAGGACCTGTGGAAAGACGGTTAGTCCTCATGAGACATACATCCAAACACGCTTGGATTAAATTGCTGATCAGCTGGCTAAATGTTTCCCTTCAGTGGACAGAGTGGTGGGTCTGGATACCATCACCAAAATGTCTGAGAGTTCTGCTCCCAGCTCCACCAAATCCAAGAAGGGCATGTTCCGTACGGTGGGGCAGCTGTACAAAGAATCTCTGGGCAAATTGATGACCACACTGCACAACACGCAGCCCAACTTCGTCCGCTGCATCATTCCCAACCATGAGAAAAGGGTGAGGGCTCCTTTTATCTGCACTTGTCTGCAGACGGGACAAACGCACCATTTGGATTTCCACTACTTGTTGTTTCTGTCCTGCAGGCAGGAAAGATGGACTCTCATCTTGTTCTGGAGCAGCTCAGGTGTAACGGAGTGCTGGAGGGCATTCGCATCTGCAGACAAGGATTTCCGAACCGCATCGTGTTCCAGGAGTTCAGACAGAGGTGAGGGATTTTGTAGATGATTAATTCGGTTTCTGCTGACGTCTAAAGACAAGATACATCTGTTAGCTTTCTCCTGCCCACCCAGAACCTCTTATCTGCTCAAGATAATTTAATGAAGCTTCATACACATATGCATCATCACTAGATGGATTGTCACTTTTCATCGCCCCAGCTCCAAGGTCAAGATCACAGTCAGGTCAAAAGTTATGTAAGGTCTTTGCTTGCCCAGGCCATTGCATAGATTACTGTATTAATGTATAATGGTTTATTAATGAGTGGATAATGTGCTGAATGTGGTACTCTTGTTATTATACTTAAAATATCTGTATTTAATTATACTTAAACATTTGTATTTATGTAGATTTCTGTTGCTCTACGAGATCTAAAGATTCAACTATATACTATATACTATATACACTAAAAACATCAAACTTACATATTTAATTTCACCTCTTTTATAAAATTGTTGTCGGATTTGGAGTTGCCATCCCTTCAATGACATCAACCTGACATTTGGACATGTTTAAAGAGCAGTGTTGATCCTTTAGCAGCATGTTTCAGATTTTACTCACTAAAAACGCCAAGATTGAAACTCCAAGGATTTCTCTTTGAGTTGAAAACGGTCTCACAAGTCTCAGGATTCCGTTTGGTGAAATGACTGAAAATATCTCCATGACTTTAAATTGTTTGTGTGGCAGCAGTTCAAACTAAAACCCGACTGATATATCGGTAAGGCCGATATTTTATTCCATTATAGATGTTTGGGGACCTGTCGGTATCGGTGGTAAATGTCTCATTATGCGCCGATACAAACACTTCTAATTTACAGCCCTAAAATACTGGAACAAGCTGTAATTGTAGAATGTGTCCAGCAGAGGGCGCATGAGGATCCAAGTCATGACCGTTCACTTAAGTTTCACTTTCAGCACAGCCGAAGCAGCGAGCAATACTGTGTAGAGTATTTTGCTGAACAGAGCATGGTAAGTTTATTTTAACTGATGTGTAAATAAATTAAAAATAATAAATTCTCTTCAATCCTTCAACCTGCTTGTCATTAGGTACATGCCTCTCAAGTTAGCAAGCTAATATTTAGATAACCTAGCATAGGTTTGTAGCATTGCCTTGTAAAACTTTATCCAGAACAATAAATCTAACGTAGAGGTAAAATATATCAGTGTTAGTAATGTTATCTTTGTCATCTTCAATGAAATGTTTTGTTTGTCTGAAATCTTTACTTCTCTACAAAGAAAAATCAACTCTGCTGTGGTCAAAACTAATTAGACCGTCACCATACGTGACTGTTTAAACAATGAACAGGAAGGTATTTCTTTGTTTAATTTTTTTGTTATTAAAGTTTTTATTGTTTCAAAACATGTATATAACCCCTCCCGACCCTCCCCACACCCTCACAAAACAAAGACCACAAATAAGACAACACAAAACAAAACAACCAGGTCAGCGCATATCAAATCAATAAAAGTTCCACAAAAGGTTAAATATCCTCGATGTTAGCAGAAACAACCACAGTGAACAGAAATAGTCACTATTAGTATTTTCCAAAACAGCATGTCATCATAGAAGTTTACTTGTCCCAGTATTGCAGGAGAGGAAACAGTTCCAGGATTTCTTAAAGTTTTCTATATCATCATTTAGCTTGGCCAGCATTTGTTCATATGACACTATTTCCAACATTAATTCCAACCAGCTCCTAACATTCGCAACGGTTGGAGATTTCCACAGTCTGAGGATTATTCTGGCAGCCGTGACCGTCCCCACCTGCACCACAATGTTTTGGTGTTTTGACATATTAGGAATCACTGTTTGATCCCCCCAGTAAGCAGAGTCTTGGTGACATAGGTATCCCCACACCTATCCACTTTCCAATGTGTTGTAATACTGTTTTCCAGAATGGGGAAATTAATGTACATTCCCAGATTGCATGTATAAATGTTCCTGATTCAGTTTTGCATTTCCAACATAGGTTATTGGTGAGCAGACCCATTCTATGAAGACTGGATGGGGTGAAATAAAATCTATGTACCATCTTATATTGCGTAAATTTCCCTCTCGATTCTTTAATGTATTTCCCATTATTTGACAGTATTTTCAACCATTCTTCATCACTAAAAAGGTCCCTCTGCCAGACAGTCCCCAGACTTTTACATACATCTTTTTGCATACTATTAAACAATTTGTAAAATGTGGATGCTTTATATTTGATTCTACTTGAGCCCATAAATTTCTGTATTGGATTATCTTTATGTATGAATTTGTCTTTAGTAATACAGTCTCTAATTTGTAGATATTTCCAGAAACTATCCTTTTTTATATTGTATTTCAGCATGACATCTGAAAAAGACAGAACAGGAAGGTGTTTCTTTGTTTAATTTATATTTCTGTAACACACTTGATAACTTTATGGTGAGTAGTGGAGGATAGAAAATGTGAACACACGTTAGGAAGACTGTTTCAAGACTTCCAGTGTTAAAACTGGTTTAAAGGTAGCAGTTTACTCAGATCCTTGGGGGTGGACAAAGTTCTGAAAGTTCCAGCCAATATCTCGGTTATCGGCATTAGCCTGACCTTCCCAATACCAGCATCAGCAATAGCTAAACTTTCCATATTGGTCGGGCTCTAGTTCAAACGGGTCAGGCACTAGATCCACGCTGCCCGTCCCTCAAGCTGTCCTGATAAGCTTCTGCAGGTCTGTGCTGAGAGGAAGAGTCTGTGTCTCAGTAAAAACAGAAGTGAGTGAATGCTGAGTTCACAGAGACTCGTCGACTCAGAAGCTGAGAAAATAAAGTTCAAACCTTGATAATCTGAGAGGAAGCGAGTCAATCCAACTCTGAGCTGATTTAATCATCTCCAATTTCATCAGTGTGAGCAATGCTAATACAAAACACCAAGGAGTTTCACTCTAATGTCCTGAAAGTTTCACACTCACAGACAAATTCCTCTGAAGTGTCAGATTTCATGAAGTAATAATTTTATGTTCATCTACAAATTTGGAGTCAGTCTGAATCAAGATGGCCACCAGAGCCAACTCATCTTAAAAAAACACGACTATAGATCAGTTGCATTGAGATGCGGTGGTAGCTGAGAGCCATCTCCGTGTCATACTGTGAACTCACAGGAAGTTGTGCTGGTGTTTCAGGTATGAAATCCTGGCAGCGAACGCCATCCCTAAAGGCTTCATGGATGGGAAACAGGCCTGCTGCCTCATGGTGAGCTGCTGCTCTTCACTGAAAACACTTTGTTCACTACAAGCCTGGCTGACTCCCCGTCCCGTCTCAGGTAAAACACCTGGATCTGGACCCAAACCTGTACCGCATCGGACAGAGTAAGATGTTCTTCAGGACGGGGGTTCTGGCGCAGCTGGAGGAAGAGCGAGACATCAAACTGACCGTGGTCATCATCGCCTTCCAGGCACAAGCACGAGGCTTCTTGGCTCGAAAGTGAGAGAACTTCCAGGGAACGTGTTTTCACCTTTGGAGGCCTCACATCTGGTTCTTGTTGTTTTCAGGGCTTTCAGCAAACGTCAGCAGCAGCTGAGCGCCATGAAGGTCATCCAGAGGAACTGTGCTTGCTACCTCAAACTCAGGATCTGGCAGTGGTGGAGGCTGTTTACTAAGGTTCTGCACACGTTCTAACAGGAACATACTCTGGGAAAAGTTCACCTGTAACCATCAGAACTCACATGTTTGTGATCCAGGTGAAGCCCCTGCTGCAGGTGACCCGACAGGAAGAGGAAATGGGTCAGAAAGAGGAGGAGCTAAAGGCAGTCAGGGAGGCGGCGTCGAAGGCTGAGGCCGAGCTGAAGGACATCAGTCAGAGACACTCTCAGGTGAACCAGATGAAGCTTCTCTAACCTCCAACTCCCATACAACCTGGTGTACTGATGAAGGCTCCGCTTTCAGCTGGCTGAGGAGCGAACGCAGCTGGAGCTGAAGCTGCAGGCGGAGACGGAGCTGTTCGCCGAGGCTGAGGAGATGAGGGTGCGTCTGGAGGCCAAGAAGCAGGAGCTGGAGGAGGTTCTGCATGAGATGGAGGCTCGGCTGGAGGAGGAGGAGGAGCGCAGCATCTCGTTGCAGCAGGAGAAGAAGGACATGGAGCAACAAGTCCAGGTTTCACACATTTTTTAGTTCCTGTAGGAACCGGGCGACGTTCTGCACAAGAACCCAGTTTTTATAAAACTTTCTTTAATTCCCCGTCGGGTGCTGCTAAAATCACTTTTACAATATTTGCTCAGCTGTTCCCGAGGATTTGACTTTTTATCTACAAATGAAGCGACTAACATCAAATATATTTTCTGTAGTGAAACAAAAGTCAGAAATGCAGATGAGCATCTAACAGCATCGCTCAGGACAGTTTTTAAACTTTGTGTAACTAATAGCTGAAGCTGAAGATCAAAGAACAGGAAACAGCTGTAGTACCCTTCACAATAAAAGCATGAAAACAAACCATTTCTCTTAGTTTTAGTTTCAATCTGTGGTCTTGGTGCAGCTGATGGAGGCGCACATCGCAGAGGAGGAGGACGCTCGGCAGAAGCTACAGCTGGAGAAACTTGCTGTGGAGGGGAAGGTGAAGAAGCTGGAGGAGGACGTCCTGCTCATGGAGGACCACAACAACAAGCTACAAAAGGTGAAGCACGTGCACGTCTAAAATCTCTGTTTGAAACTAGCCGTGGCTCCATGTCTCACTCACCGTCTGCTTTCTAGGAACGGAAGCTTCTAGAGGAGCGTCTGGCTGACATGAGCTCCAACCTGGCCGAGGAGGAGGAGAAGTCTAAGAACCTGAGCAAACTGAAGAGCAAACATGAGTCCATGATCTCCGAGCTGGAGGGTCAGTCCCAACAGCCTGAACGTTGCTGAAGCGTCCACTTTGCTGTGACACGTTCTTCGGCATCTTTCTCATCCCGCAGTTTATTTTTTATTTTTATTGATTTATTCATTCATTTAAAAGAAGAAAAAAAACAAATCCATTAAAAAATAAACATTGAATGAAAAGGGTGCAGAAAGATGAAAATTCTTATATCTGCCCCTTATTTAAAAAAATATAAAATAACTACAAACAAACAAGAACTTAGAAGTGAACTATCTCAAAAGTGAAAACAAAAAATATTAGATATCCTTCACATGGCACCATACTTTCCTTACAATATTAACTTAATCATCTTTTAAAACATATACATTGTTTTAGACAATTTTATGCTGATATCAAGGAAACTCCACAATCCTATTCCCTGAATTACAACGCAGCTTCAGGCTATTTCTAATGCAGGTTTTACAAACATGTGATGATGGATGGGTGGATGGATGGATGATGGATGGATGGATGGATGGAGGGATGATGATGGGTGAATGGATGGATGGATTGAGGGATGATGATGGGTGGATGGTGGATGAATGATGGATGGATGGATGGTGGATGTATTCCCTGAACTACAACGCACGCTCCTTCAGACTAGTTCTAATGAGAGGTTTTACAAACATCTGATGATGGATGGGTGGATGGTGGATGGATGGATGGATGGATGATGATGGGTGGATGGATGGATGGATGGTGGATGTATTCCCTGAACTACAATGCACGTTCCTTCAGACTAGTTCTAATGGGGGTTTTACAAACATCTGATGATGGATGGGTGGCTGGTGGATGGATGGATGATGATGGATGAATGGATGATGGATGATGGGTGGATGGATGGATGGATGATGACGGGTGGATGGTGGATGAATGATGGATGGATGGATGGATGGATGGATGGATGGTGGATGGATGGATGGATGGATGGATGGATGGATGGATGGATGGATGGATGGTGGATGTATTCCCTTAACTACAATGCACACTCCTTCAGACTGGTTCTAATGGAGGTTTTACAAACATCTGATAATGGATGGGTGGATGGTGGATGGATGGATGGATGGATGGATAGATGGATGGATGGATGATGATGGGTGGATGGATGGATGGATGGATGGTGGATGTATTCCCTGAACTACAATGCACGCTCCTTCAGACTGGTTCTAATGGAGGTTTTACAAACATCTGATGATGGATGGTGGATGGATGGATGGATGGATGGATGGATGATGATGGGTGGATGGATGGATGGATGGATGGATGGATGGATGGATGGATGGTGGATGTATTCTCTTAACTACAATGCACACTCCTTCAGACTAGTTCTAATGAAGGTTTTACAAACATTTCCATCCTTTAAGGCCATAATGACTCAACTGATTTTAACTGAATATTTGGGGGTAATATTTTTTTACAAGCTTTTTACATGACTTGTAAAATACTATATTCAGCCAGCTGTCAGCTGTTTCAACAAATCATAAATCAACACGTTCAGCTCTTTCAGGACAATTCTGCTGTGACTTTTGATTTTGGTGCAACGTTAGCTTTTTGAAATATTTAGCCTTTTCTGCCACTTTGTTCTCATAGAAAATGAATTGAGATCATTTTACATCCTTCAAATCTTTAGATGTGTTTACAACCTTTTACTGCTCCTCTCACATTTTGTTTTGCTTCATGTGCTTTCAACTTCCTTCTGGTAATTTCATCTACTTTCTGCCTTTTTAGCTTCTTTTTAGCTGTTATTTTGCTAATTTCAGCTGTTTTTAGCTAATTTCCTAATCGTTGTGCTCATTTCTGCTTATTTAAACCTAATTCAGCAAATGTGTTCTTTCTGCTTTGTTCTGCTAATTTAGGCTTGTTCTTCCATTGCAGCTACATTTCAGCATGTTTTAGTTAATTTCAGCTGTTTTTCAGCAAGTTTGTCTGCAATAAGCGTTCACGCTGCAGTTTCGCAAGAATTGCAGTTTGTCCGGCTACTGTTGTGTCTTTACGAGCTCCAGACTGCCCAGCAGTCAACATGAGGTGGACTCATCAGAACAATGAAGGTCACCAACAAGCCTCACCTCATCTGAGTCAGAAATATCGTTGGGAAGTTTTCTGTAAATATCTGTCGTTTATGTTCCACCACAATCATCAACACACAGCTGGTGGGACTCATTTTGCCTCTTCAGTCCAGCAAACTTTGGTCCATGTCAACATGTCCATCTCTCGGGCTGTCCACCATCTGGTTCTGGATTCAGGTCTTGGGGCAGTAGCTTGATCAGGGAGGTCCAGACATTTCTTCCAGCTCTTCCAGGAGGACTCCAAGATGTTCTCAGACCAGCCAAGAAACATAGTCTCTCCAGCATGTCCTGGGTCTTCCTCATGGTGTCCTCCCAATAGGACCTGTCCAGAACACCTCCTTAAAGAGGCGTCCAGGGTCCATCCTTATCAGATGTCTAAACTGTCTCCTCTGGATGTGGAGGAGCAGTGGCTCAACTCAGAGTCTCTCCTGGAGAACTTAACGTTTCACCTTATTTCTAAGGCAGAGTCCAGCTACCCTGCAGAGAGGACTCTTTTAGGCCTCCTGGACCCAGGATCTGGTTCTTTTAGTTAGGACCCAGAGTTCAGGACCAGAGGTGAGGAGCTGACATGTCAACATGCATTTAGGGGAATTCCTGTCTGCTTTTTTACTGGTTTTCTGTCAACAGTGGAGCCTCCGGGCTCTTTGAAAGGACTATTTGATATCTTGAGACATTAAAGACACACAGGACAGATGGGCCGTGATTGAGTTCAGATGTCTGGATGGACCAGAGCTCCAAACATGAACACATGACCAACTGATACATCACCTTCGTCCACAGCTGCTGTCATGTTTGTGCTGGCTCCACTTTGTCTCCTTAGATGTATCTAAACATGCTTGAAGGCATATTCTAACTTTTAAATACACTGAAACATTTGAACACGTCATCAGCGTAATATCAACATCTTCCATCATCTGACTCAGACGGAGATGGACGGTGATGAAAGTGTGAAAGGTTCCTTCATCTGAGTCCTGCTTGAATGGTTTTGGACAGTTTCCTCTATCTGTCCATCAGATAAACCTGGGGTCGCATTTCATCTTGCATCCACATCCTGGAAGGTTGGCTCCAGTCCCATGAACCTTCTACATTTCATTAATCTTGTCAGCTGTGATCAGGGGAACATGAAGTTAGTTGGAGATGGTCTGGTAACCTTTATCTTCAACACATATATCTATAATGTTCTGTGCAAGCTCCTCAAACAGCTGAAAGAAACACTTCAACAGAGCTGAAGCTTTGTTTCAGAGGGCTGGAGGAGTACTGACTAATTATCTGCACTTCAAAACGGTTCATCTTCTATTTTCATCTTCTGCTTGGTGTGTGCAGTGCGTCTTAAGAAGGAGGAGAAGGCTCGTCAGGACGTGGAGAAGGCCAAGAAGAAGGTGGAGGCGGAGCTGGCTGAGCTGCATGAGAGCTACGCCGACCTGCAGGCCCAACTAGACGAACTCCGAGCTCAGTTAGCAGCTAAAGAAGAAGAGCTGCAGGCTACACTGAACCGGTGAAGATGTACACCACAGAGGGCTCATCCTCCAGGAGGCAGAAACCGGCTTTCTAACATCCATCCATTATCTTTTACCCGTTTATTCCATTTTGGGTCACGGGGGTCGCTGGTGCCCATGTCCAGCAATCACTGTGCGAGGGGCGGGGTACACCCTGGACAGGTCGCAAGTCCATCACAGGGACACATAGAGACAAACGAGACAAACAACCATTCACTCTCTCACTCACACCTAGGGACAATTTAGAGTCACCAATCAGCCTAACATGCATGTTTTTGGTCTGTGGGAGGAAACCGGAGTACCCGGAGAAAACCCACGCATGCACGGAGAGAACATGCAAACATGCATGCCCAGAAGGCCCCTGGACTGGGGTTTGAACCAGGGACCTGTTCGCTGAGAGGCAGCAGCTCTACCAGTTGCGCCACCGTGCTGCCCGGCTTTCTAACATTTTATTACAATCTTTGATTGATTTATTTATTTATTATTTTTATTTATCTGTAACTTAAAGATGGGATGTTCTAGAACTGCTCAGAAACTGTTCACCCCTCAAAACAATCACCAGTCCTAGACAATTAAAGTTGCACAATCCCTACTAAACCTGGGTCCTCCTAAACCTTAATCCCTAAAGAATTTGTTTATTCTTTAATCTTAATCCCTAAAGAATCTATGTCTTCTTTAATCTTAATCCCTCAATAATCTGTTTCTTCTTTAATCTTAATCCCTAAAGAATCTGTTTCTTCTTTAATCGTAATCTGTAACAATTCTGTTTCTTCTTTAATCTTAAACCCTAAAGAATTTGTTTATTCTTTCATCTTAATCCCTAAAAAATCTATGTTTTATTTAATCTTAATCCCTAAATAATATGTTTCTTCTTTAATCTTAATCCCTAAAGAATTTGTTTATTCTTTAATCTTAATCCCTAAAGAATCTGCTTCTTCTTTAATCTTAATCTGTAACAAATCTGTTCCTTCTTTAATCTTAATCCCTAAAGAATCTGTTTCTTCTTTAATCTTAATCTGTAGCAAACCTGTTTCGTCTTTAATCTTAA